GGACTTTCAATGTTTCTCACTTGATCAAAATAAAATTTATCGACCCTGTTTCTTATTGTATCCTTTACTTTAAAAATATCTAACTGTTTTACATTATCATTTTTATCYAKGAWAGGCTTAATGCTGCTGTCGATAACATACAATATATCATTTGCTCTTAATTCCGATCTAAGATCATCAAGAAAGTCATCAAATTTGGTTTCCTGGCAGAGTTTATATACATGGGGTATGCTATGATCAGGATTGAACATTTGAAGACTRATYACCTGRGCTGAATTCCGACTATTATTGTCATGAMATCCAGTCTGAGCRGTGTYTTGATTACTAGAATTTATTGCTTCACCAGAGTGTGATTCATTACTCAAAAAATTACTCGATTCTAAACCTGAATTCAAACTGGACCTTTGCAAAGTTAAACTATCTATTGCTTCACTGTTAAGTAATTTCAAAATCTCATTTCTAATCGCTGTACCAAGGTTAACTTCGTTTATTTTCACTGGTTTTCCGTGAGTATGAACAATACTCACCGGAGCACCAGAAACCCTATCATGAACATTATCTTGAGTAGCTGTACTACTACTTCCAACCGAAAACTGTTGAGCTGTCGAGACTGCATCGTCTAACTCCGAAGCAGGCTCTTCAACCGTAACAGTGCGTTTATTCTGAGTTTGCTTTATTTCAGCTATTTGCTCCTGAGACCGTAGATACTTTTGTTCAAATTCTTCAGCCCTTTTCTGACTTTCGGCCAACCGAATTTTCAAACCTTCTACTTGATTATTGAGAGCATCGTATTCCTTCTTGTGTATTTCAGTGAGCTCTTTGAATACCTTTTCTGGCCCTTCAATTTTCTCTCGAGGAGCTGCAATGGTTTCCTTTTGGATCTCAATCAAATTCTTCACACCATTGACCTCTATATTGTCAACCGCATTTGAGGTACTCTCGGGGTTTTGTGCAGGAGGAACCGCACTTACCAACGCCTTCGCTGTACTATCTCCTCTGTCCTCCTGTTGGGAAACTAGATATTGCGCAAAAATTAGATATCTCAATAATACTTCCTATATCAAACATTCTGTTTGATTTACACCCTATTATATTATACCATGGCTTTCAAATAACGATTTTACCTGATCCGTGAGACTAAGTATACATCATGCCTTAAAACGCATGAGGAAGCGTTACATATAATTACTTTTCTCACCCATCAGTAAAATCCCATTCAAAAAAGGACAAGGTTTTTTTAATTTTAGTACAACACATTTACAACGTAGAACTTACTTGATGCAATTGGACTATTTGTCTTTGAGACATCCACTATTACATTTGTTGCTTGCGAACCTCTTAATTCTTTATCAGACACCACTAATGACGAGTCATTTTGTAACGACCTGCTTGAGTCATGCTGGCTTCGACCAACATCCACTCTGACCGTATTACCTTGTGCGTCTGATAATACTGACAGAATCAAACTTTGATCTTCAGTGTTCATCTGGTCAATATCTACTGACCAGCAGTTTTCGCTGTCATCTTCAAGCAAGAAACCATGTTCTTTCGCAGTGAGCCGTGCAACTTGGCTTTGACTACCAACTTCCTGGAGCAAGGCTCTCGACAAATCAACTAATTGTCCCAATTTCGCTAAAAAATACGTATTCAATTAATTTGGTGCACCTTTTAGTTTTGTTTAAACCAAGTTTCAAACAAGTTTATAAATCGATTTCAACTTTTATTATTATCATTCTTTTGTATTTAAACAGCTATACATCTAAAATGTACCTGCTTTCAATATTTTAACTATAGTGATATACGTATAACATGTACCAATTCATCTACACATCTAAAATATGCCTGCTTTCACTATTTCAACTATAGTAATATACAACTACAATGTATCAATTTAGCTACACATCTAAAATGTGCCTGCTTTTACTATTTTTTATTTTTTTTATTTAGCTACACATCTAAAATGTGCCTGCTTTTACCATTTTTTATTTTTTATTTTTTTTTAATGGAGTGTTGAACCAATGGGAATAGCTTTGCGCGGGTTCAACACTGAATTTGAAAAGGAAATGAGAATAGCTTTGCGCGGCCTTTTCAAATTCACCCGCTCTGCTAGTCGTTGTAAAACTGAATATACCATACGTAGCTCGGAGAGGAAGTGGCAACATCGCACCATACTATGCGACTATCTTTCTCCCTCTCTCTCTTTCTTCAACACATCCTATACTACCTTCAGAGCGGAGAAGAGAAGCACACTTGCGTTTCTCTCCCTCCATCACAAGACCCAAGATGGAAAGAAGAGGAGAGGCAACTTTACCCCCTTTCTCTCTTTCCTTCTTACATAGCGCGTTGCCATGCCCTTCACGGCAAGATCGCCTTGTGTTTACACGCAAGGGCGTTGTTTATTTTTTTTTTTTTTAAATAAATAAACGCGCTATGCTCTCTCTCTCTCTCTCTTGTGTCGTGTGATATAATTTTGATGTTTGTTTGAAACGTATATGTGCCCTACTCTGTCCTTTATCTTTCCTTTCTTTCTTCCTCTCTTACTCTCCCTCGTGTGTAAACAAACAGCGTCTTCAAGTTCGAACTCGTCTAAGCATTCGTATCTATAATGCCTGTTCATTGTTCTAGAAATATTTATATGACGCAACTTTAAATATTTTTTTTTTTATACTGTAAATGGCATTAAAGATTTACTGCTACGAGATTCCCCTTATTTTTAATTTAATTTTTCCCCTTTTTTCTTTAACTTAACATTTTGACCGGAAATCCTTTTTTTGTTTTTTTTGTTTTTTTTTTTTCAACGAATTGTAACACGATTTTAAGAGAGAGAAGAAAGAATAAAGATTTACGAGAGCTCAGAGTTTTACACACCTTTTCTACTACCTTTTTTTTTATATATATTTTACTATTATTTTTCCAAACACACTTTCGATAAAAAACAGTTATTGAATATGTACTTACTTTCACCTAGACTAGCTAGTAGCCCTTGACTACCCTTCTCTTTTGTCTCAACCATGTTCGCGTTTTCATTGTTCTTGCCACCTTTCATTGTTCTTTGCGTATTCTTATCTTCTCGTGCCAAAGCTGTACAGATATGTAGATTTCTGTGGGTATATTTTCTTTTTTTCTCTTTTTTTTTTTGGCTGCTTCTGATGTAGTTGAAGCTGAGATTTTAGCAGAAGTTTACTTCCTTTGCTTACCCAATGGAACACTGGTGCAAGTACACACACGTGCGAACCGGCGATAACTAGGTTCGATTTCTATCTTATAAAATTCACTATTAAACTAATTAACTCTCGTTCACTTGCGCAGTGTAAGCGTGTCAGGGGCTCATAACCTGTTAAGGTATGGCTGATAAAAGACAACGCAGAGTTAATATGAAAAACTAAGATTTATTATAAGAAATGGTGGAAAAGAAAGAACTGTTTAACAAGTCTAGAACTAGACCGGATACAGAATAAAGAGAGGGCGTACCAGCGCCCTGTACTAAGGGACTGTGCGGCCCGTAGGATAAGTAGCGGTAAAGAGTAGGGGCGGCGGAGTGAGAAGACATAACGTCTTTTATGTACGCTATTCTTAACAGATTTCATGGTTGAGAAATTCACTGGCAATAATTCCAATGCTCACCAGTTGATTCAGTATTTTAATAAAAGAATGTGAACATTTTCAAATTTACAATAACAAAAAGTAACAGAACGACTAACGACTCAGTGATCCCAGAGTCTTTAGTTTGTCTGATCGACACAGGGCCGTAAAATTATCGTGCACAGAGACAAATTATCGTACGCACAGGAAGAAATTTGGAATTTTAGGAATTTAGGATTTGACACTTCTGATTTAAACATTTGCAGAATTTTTTACATTTTCAAAACTGCAAAAAGAGTAAAAATACCAACTTTTGCAAACTTGATGACCTGTTTTTTTTTCTTTTTTAGATCCTCAGGTCTTTTTTCGTCCTTTTCTTTTTCCTATTTTCCAATTTGGACAGTTCCATTCCAAGGCCAATATATTGTAAGACCCATAAGACCCTTCTATCCGCCTTCTGAATCTATGGAATTTAGAAAACCCTGAGGAAAAAGAAAATGATTTGATAGAATTTGTTGAAAAAAGGGAAAAAAGGATATGAATGATTGACACGAAATGAACAGAGGAGAAGAAATATCAATTTCTGGAATTTTAAGATTTATTTACAACAAAGAAAAATATTGTTAAATACTGTTAATAATTAAAAATTTTAATACAAATCATATTCTATGGTAAATATTTTTTCTTGATGAAATTAAAAAGAAAGAAGCAGAGTTAAAAAAGGTAAATGGGCCGATATAAAATTTAGCATAGATTTAAAACAGTTTTTATTTTCTTTCATCTGATACTGTCGCCGTAACCCTGATGCAATCCTGACGAAACCCTGACGAAACCCTGACGCAACACTGACGGTTACTGTGTGCAAATAACAAGGTTGGTGTATGCGAACAACAAGATTGCTTTTTATTGGCGCATTAGCGAAATTTTTGCTGCGCATTGCTGCGGTGGCGTTAATATGTAAGTACCCCATTTATTTAGGCCAACAGTTTGTAAATAAGTAATAGATATTGTTATGGTCTCACGCAAAAAATAAACATAAAAAAATACAACAGAAAATTTAATTTATATTTCAGTACCGTGGCTTTCAAATTGTCTACTTTTATGTATATATTAGGTTATTAACTATGAAATGTCTGATTATTCGAATTATTTTCATTTCGAAATCATACATTTCATATTTAATGACCTAATAATGCGAGAACAAAAATAACAATTAATGATTCGATGGGTGCACGTGTTTTTGTTCAAGATTTAGCCTGTTTTCTATACCCTTCAGGTCGAGACACGTTTTGACGAATGACCCAACTCAGTAGTTCTCAAAAATTTTTCTCCTACCGCACCCTTTCAAGAAAAAGTATTAATTATCGCCCTCCTAAAAATTTTTGGTTTCCTAATTTTTCTTTTTTTTGGTAACTGAAAATAAAATTTAATCCAACTTACCGCTCCCCAAATGCACCTTTATGCACTTGTGCTGTGCTGTGACCATCCCCGCCGCCCTGAATTGCTTCATCGCATATTTTGGGAACCTAATATACCTAATAACCACTGACCTAACCAATACCATTGCCAAACCAAATAAATTAAAAAAATCCAATTAAAAGTAAATTATAATTTATTATCGCAAATTGCACTTTTTACAAGACTAGAAATTTCTATAGCTTAAGTAGAGTTAATTGAAAATAAATAATTAACAGTTTATATATTAAACTTATAGTTTAAGGGTTCATTCTGGTTTATACGCCGAAAATAAAGGCTATTTTCACGATTTTTTTTTAGGCTTTGTAGGATATATATACATATGAAAGTTG